GAGCAGTGTATATCACTGATGATAATCCTATCTCTGGTCATTGAGTGTATCTTCAGTAGCTGTTTCGCTCCCAGATCTGGGCATTACATTATCTATATTTACAAATAATTTTTAGTATTTAAATACCGAGTATTTAAATACTTTCTACAAATATTTATTGGAATATATTTTTCAAGTTAGTATTTGCAAATAGTTTCACAAAGTATCTGAATATATCTCAAGTATTTAAGTATATCTGAAGTATTTGAATACTCAAAAGTATTTAAATATTTCAGAAGTATTCAAACACTCGTAAAATATTCAAGTATTTAATACTACTTAAATTTAAAATTAAATATGCAGATTCTCATTAACGGCCATCATGCACATGCCATCATATCATCTTCTTAAATCGAACATCCTGTGGATTTTAGCTTTCCAGAATCCAAGCTGATTCCAGAGAACTCCACATCCAACACCCAACACCCAATATAGTGAATGGTGAAATATTCAAATACCTCGAAAGTATTTGAATACTTATTGTGAACTATTCAAATACTTATGTATTTGCTATTTAAATACTTTTTGGCATTTGAAAATATTTAATATTCAAATATTTTCAATATCCGAAAGTATTTAATACTCAATATTTAGCTCTGCTCGCTCCTACGAATTCCAGAATTGTACCTCCATAATTAGGAAATAATTATACCTACAGGGGTGTTTCGATCAGAAATAAGACATGACATGAAATATTTCACTAGAACTGAACTGAATCAGTAAAATGACGTTATTTAGGTCAATTAGGTGTTTCGAGCCAGGAGCTATTTCACTTCCAGTCAGCTGCTTATGATTTATAAGGCAGAGATCCGACCTGTCCTGGAATACTGTTCCCATATTTGGAGTGCGGCACCCAAACATACCCTGAAACTGTTGGATTCTGTCCAAAAAAGGGCAATTCGTCTCACTCACAAACTCACTCACTTCTCTGGAACACTGGCGATCTGGCTCTATTTTATAGATATTTTCATGGGCGATGCTCTTCTGAAAAATCAACAATTGTTTTTCCTTGGCAGTCCCCGCGAGATGAACCCGTCGAGTTGAGGCTTCGCACCCCTTCGTGGTCACTTTGGAGACCTGCAGAACATCTCTTTCCAAAGACTCGTTCATCCAACGAGCAGCGAAGTTCTGGAGCACATTGCCAAGTGAGGTATTCCCCGAGGCATATAACTTCCAGAAATTCAGGAAGAACACCAATTCCTACCTTATTTCCCTCGGTTCTCACGATGTTCTCTGAACATTACAGGATATCCCTTTTCGTGGAAACCAGAACATAAAAAAGTAGATTTATGGTATTTCCAGTGATTCTAGGTACATATACATACGATGAATGTCAAATGATTCAGTTCAGTGAATGTGTGAAATATGTCAGTCAGTTCAGAACGAAAGAATATAAGTATAATATCGCGATTTTTGTGATGTAATACTGATTACAGAAGGCCATGAGATGATAAATCAAACACTGTCTGTAGGTTAATCGAGGAGGTGGCATATTCATTATTCCATGAATGATAAATCAAACTCAATTCATAGACAAACTGAAAAAAAAAACTTGAACTGTTATCAATCTACTCCGGAATTTAAGGACGATTAGAGTAGAAGCGCAGCACAATGCATAATATATCGGAAATCACTTTTTATATCACTAGATTCGTTTTCTAAATACGTCAAAAAATTACAAGGTTTGCTTATTGATAACAATATGCGAGTAAAATGACTCTTTTTTCATTCTATGCTGTAAACACGCCACCGTGCTCAAAATAGTGTGTAAAATACATATTTCGTGCACTGCATGTAAACCATCTGAGGTTTTTGTATTATAACCTTATTTATGGTCCTCAATCAAATAAAAATCCAAGAAATCATTTGTTTCTAAATTTCAACAATAATCAAGACTTTTTAAGGCAATTCAACATTATTCTTTATATTGAGCTAAGCATTTTAAAACGATATTTTTTGAGGTTTGTGGAAAAAATATTGTTTGTAACTTGAGCGCCAAGAACTTTGGTGAATTTCGCGCACAAGATACAAAATAGTTATTATTCTATGTAGTGTGCAAAATCCTACTTTGGTGACTCGTGTGGTGATCGAGAAGTGATGTTTCAACGAGGCGCAGCCGAGTTAAAAAAAACTGGCCTAAAAAGCCTTAATTATTATTAAGTTAAGGTGGATTTACGCAGAAACATTCAACAATTATCAAGTAACATTCATCAATTAACAAGTTATGCCAACCAAATTAACAATTAATGAACTGATAGTACACAGCTAGGCGCACATGCCCTAAATATGGGCTATCAAAGGAATAACCTTACAAATAGTTGTTTACAATTTACCAGAATTTACATGAGGAGCTAAGATTTCAAATTTTAAAATTTTTTCTGATCTGGAAAAGACTGAGTTTCTTTTATTCACAATTATATTGTTGATTGCAATTGTTTTATGTTAAAACAAACATAACATCTGTCAGATATCAGGTCTGACATTGGTCTGACCAATCCATGCTTTCTCTACCAGTTGATGAAACCAATTCGTGATCATCTACGTACTAGAGTTGCGCACTAGAATTAAATCTGGTAGGTACAATCAAAGTAAATGTGCATTTATGCAACATCATTTAACAATTATCGAGTAACATTTATCATTCAACAAGTAGCAATTATAAGTTGAACTTCCTGTTTTCGATGAAGGTGTTTATGCAGACATTTAACAATTATCAATTAACAAGTAACAAGTAAGAAATTGGCCAACTTTTAACTTTCTTACTTGCTCACTTTGATTGAACCAGGTTTTTTTCTAGTGCGCAACTCTAGTACGCAGATGATCGCGGATTGGTTTCATCGACTGGAAGAGAAAGCATGGATTGGTCAGACCAATGTCAGACCTAATATCTGACAGATGTTAAGAAATTTGTTTCAACAAAAAACAATCGCGATCAACAAAAAAATTGTGGATGAAAGTAACCCTGTCTCTTCCAGATCAGAAAACATTTTGAAATTTGAAATTTAAGCTCCTTATGTACTATTAATTCATTAAGCCATTAAGGGCCTATTCATGTATGCATCATTGTCTTAGTCATTGTCTTAATCATAGTCTTACCAAGGTGAATAGAATATTAACTCATCATATTCGGACCTTCATGCATCACAGTCTTTAGGCAAAGAGGAGAGGCTTAAGAATTATGATATGACAATTGACAATGTCTAGAGATCCGTCAGTAGATAGGTACAAAAACAAATTCTACACACCAGAGATAAAATGTAATCTATTCACCAGTCAATGCCATGATTTGTGACATTGATTTCCAGGAATTCTCTATTGCAATTTTATCTTTGTATTTTGAGTCTTTCTTGTCCCAAAGATGGGGAAATTTCTCCACCAAATCTATTAGGGTTTCTTCTTCCAGGCTCATGATTTTTTGATATTTGTTATCAAATGTAATCAAATTATCAGAATGATGTAATTAAGATGGCTACATCCTTGTAGCCATCTTAGATGTAATCAATTATTGACACAGTACAGAATAGCACTGATTTCATGGTGACAAACACAAAATTAATAGTAGATTGTTTTATTAGGATCAAAAGTGCTCCGCCTCGCAAATGCAAAATTCGCTTGTCGAACAAAGTCACTTTTGATCCGAATGAAACATGCTATTTTTTCTGCAACCGAAACAATTAACTCAAATAAACATGTGAAGTAACCACCAATGCTGTGCCATATGTATGCAATGCAACAAATATTGACAAATAATCCGTGTGGTGAGAATATTCTACCTGCATTAACAGCAGGTAAGGTTTTCAAGGATGTTCGAATTGAAGTTTCGATATGAATACAACCAAAGAGTGACATATTTGTGTATGGACCAGGTGCTCTAATGGCAAATACCGCGCCAGTGCCAGCTCTAGGAACAAGACGTGGAAAATGTTAAGTTAGTGAGCATATCAACAATGATGATAGTGATTATTTATTCCTCTCCATACTACACTGTGTTTGACTTGATAATCAAATGAAGCTAAACAATATCGTTGTTTGAGACAAAAAAACTATTGCTTGCCGTGAATATTCAAAAACAAGTTATCCATCCCGAGAATAACGAATGAAATACAGATCAAGCAAGTATTTGAATCTTGAAGGCTTCCCTGATCAAAACAAAAATACTTAACTGAGATGTTTATAATTCCAATACAAAACTATAGTAAGATGTATTTATATTTCCAGCATGGGTATGAAATACCAAATCTGCTGAAATCGGAAACAAATCAGGTATGCGTCTCAACCCAAATAACCAGCCGTCACAATGTTGTTTATTCTTGTATATCCTCTTTAGTTCGTAGGAGCTAAAGTTCAACTTTAGCTCCTAGGAACTAAAATTCAACTTTAGCTCCTAGGAACTAAATATGTTGCCTAGCAACATACCTATTTTTGTGTCAGTAATAGAAACGTCAATTTAAGAGCAAATTTTAGTATCAAAATGGACGACTTTTGTGTCGGTTGCAGAAAAAGTCATTTGTGATTGTCAAATAGATTGCGCATTTCTTATGTGGTTTCAATCATAAGCATAAAAATTGAAAGTTCGTAACTTTTAGGGTTATGATTTAATGTTTGTGATTAAGACTAGACTGAAAATGTTGCATGAGTTCCCCTATTGAAATGTATGTATGAGACTGAGACAATGATGCATAAATAGGCCCTAATTGTTAATTTGGTTTGCATAAATGTCAATATTCTCATCACTTGTTAATTGATAATTGTTAATTGATAAATATTACTTGATAATTGTTGAATGTTGCTGCATGAATCCACCTTAAGAAAGTTGAAAGATGGCCCACTACTTGTTACTTACTTGTTAATTGATAATTGTTAAATGTTTGCATAAACACCATCATCGAAAACATTAAGTTCAACTTATTTTAACTGCTACTTGTTAAATGATAAATGTTACTTGATAATTGTTAAATGATGCTGCATAAATTCCCCTTCAAACGTTTAGAAATGAATGATTTCTTGAATTTTAGCTTGATTGGGGACCATGAAGGTTAAAATACAGAAATTCCATAGGTCGCGTTTTACTTCGCTTAGTATTTCGCGCAGTGTCATAGTATAACGTAGGAATCTGAAAAAAAGTGTCACTTAGCATATTTGTTATCAATGCGCTGACCGTGTCATTTCTTTTGTAGAAAAATAACAATTTTTGCATATATCTATACTAATTCTATGACCTACATCACTCATAATCCATGTTCGAGCACAACAATCCCGAAATACAAGAATCAAGTAACGCTCTTCAATTTCAGAACGAAGATGACGTCATCCAACCAATAGTACGATTGCTGCAGGTCGCCTTCGCAAAGATATGGCACCCTGCTCCAGGAGATAACTTCGAAGTTGGCCGGGGTCAACACGTCATCGACCACGCTCTTCACTTGTTGCTCGAACGTAGAGCCGTTGATGGGAAGGAGTTGTTTGGGCTTGAAATCTGGAGCTCCTGCAAAAAGTTCGATTTTTCACAAGAAATACGTTCATACTGACATCCTGACATATACGTCCGGAAATGGATAGTTTTGGGAAAACAGGGTCTCAAACTTCTTTGAAAAATAGTTATTTATTGTACAAGGAAAAAAAGAATTAGATTTTAGCTCGAGGTTGTGTACAGTGTGTCCAGATTTCGATGCTTTTGCATATCTCAGTTATCTTTGGAGACAGAACCATGCAGTTTTCGCGGTCCTGTGCCACTTTTTTGTGAAACTCAAGATGACCTAACTGTTTCCTTTTATGAAATACAGGGCAATTTTGAAAATTTTTACTTTCTAAACTCCCTCTATATCTACGAAGTTTCTCAGTGAAAATTCCAAATTGAAATCTTATTCCATAGAGGCTTCTACGCAAAATCCAGTGGCGCACTTAATTTTGCTTTCGGGGTATGGTTTTGGAGTTACGACTGAAACTTATAATTTTTTGAAAGGAACAACATGTGTCTCATTAGCTCATTGAATTCCATATTTTTCACCTTCAAAATGATATACAGTGTGACCCACTTCTAATGGAACCACCCCTGTATCTTACGTAATCGTTGGGTAAGGATCCTGAAATTTGCTGGAGCGAGCAAACATGATTTTTGCGGCCCTCTAAAGGTACAATGAAACTTGCCGGCGAGCGGTAACAGCGGTCCTCTATTGTACAACTAAATTGGGCCGGCTAGCCCGTGTCCCGGCGGCCGACAGTCGACCGCCTCACTAGAGCCATCAGTATGCCGCTTATTACGTTGCAGGGCTTCTGGTGGGCAGAGGCAAGTACTCAAATGTACTGCATTCATGGCATATCTTCGGCCCGATTGAGACTTTTCAGAGACTGCCATTAATTGGCCACTTGAGTATTTTCATTCCCCCGATAGAGGAGTCTTTCAGGGCCGTTAACGGGGTTGAATGAATTCAATATTCATAGTATTCTGTTTTTTGAAGTCCCATTTTTTCAACTAGGTTTGTCAAAGATTATATAGGGTAATGCACATATCTGAGCGAAAATAGGTTTTTTGATAGGTATTCCAGTTTATATCACCACTTGGAAAGCAACGTATCTCATTTTCACTCAGATTTGCATCACTCTCTCTTTATTTTCAAACTGGTTGAAAAATGTGGAACTTCAAAAAACAGAATTGAGGTCTCCGAGGTATTTGTGAATCATCTGGGTAAAACAGAAATGTGGAATTCACTCCTTACCTGAAGTTGTTGAATAATTACATAAAAATCTCTGAGATGGCATTCTGATATCACAGTTATTTCCAGGAAACTAGCAGTATAAATACCCCATACAAAAACAAGAACTGACAATATCCATGTGTGTATATTATTGCCATGATCACAACCAATACATATCACAACTATGGAAACATCAAACATCTTAATTCTAGTTCTACATATCACTCTGTATCCTCATTGTTTCAAAATTTGCTAACTCTAGGTCAAAAATTACATCACCTATGTACCTACCTAATAACTTGAAAGGTATGTAGGTAATCAGTTATTATATTGATCAAGTTATTGTCAACAATGAAGTTCAATCTACAAGAAAACAATTTCCAGATATGGAGAACCTTACTCTTCATCATATTGATATGAGTGTTGCCTGGAAGTGAGATATCATATACCATGAAATAATTCATATCATATAGTCTGGATCATTGTGTGCTTTCTTCATTGATATCTGTATGGGCTTCTGGATGTTGATTTTGTAGCTGAAAGATTGAATGATTTCATTCTCTACTAATCCAAAACATGCAACCTTATACATACCTACAGTATTGAAATATAACTGTTTCTTCAAGTAGCTATCTTTGATTTTCGTTTTGATTCATATGTAATGAAAGCTCATGCATCTTCAAAGTCCTCAATTATTATATTCTTGTGTATCCGCTGAACACGTCCAAACTATTATTGCATCTGTTTGTCCAATGGTGTTTGTTAAATTATTATCTAAAATAAAATTTTTTAGCTGTGCAAGTTTGTATATATGTTTGTTCCTCACTCACTCTGTATTTATTTCAATTCCCTTCTATTTTGTATAAAAATCCACAAGAAAACCGAACACGAACTGAACCATAACTGAACACAGTACTAAAATCTCTTTTGAGGAGAGTGTTGAGACAACATAAACAAAGAAATCAATATACGCCATACTGAACCATTGTTACCACTGCAAAATAATCAAAATAAAAATTCACGCGAGCGAGGGATGCCAACGTTGAGTGAGTGATGATGGCACACTCCGTTGAAATTTTGATGGCCCTTTGACTTGGATACATACAGCGGAAAACTAGCGACAGGGAAACAGAGGCCTATAATAAGTATGTGTACATTCTGCCTTCGTCACATAATCCTTCGAAATCATTTGGAGGGCCTTTCGAGGCATGCCGACATCGACATTTGCCCGCCGTTCTCGCCATGGGCCCGGCTTTCTACCGCCTTTCGATGTTTGCTGGGAGAGATATACCAAAAATGCACTCCATGACCAAGTAGGGTCATCTTCAGTGATATACACTGCTCGCCAACAGCCATGAAACTACCCCAATTTCCGGAAAATGATATTAGGAGTCAAAATAGGTCGAAAATCACTTCAGATTTGGAATCAGGACGCTCGATTTACTAACTATTCAAATTTTTCCTGGAAAATTTTCATTTCGGAAAAATGAAATTTTCTCACGTAATTATTGAGGTAGGGTTCTGAAATTTGCTGGAGGAAGAGAAAGTTCAAAGATAAAGTCAATTACGTGAGGTACGGGGGTGCTTCCATAAAATATGCGACAAAATTTCATTTTTCCGAACTGAAAATTTTCCAGGAAAAATTTGAATAGTTAGTAAATTGGGCGTCCTGATTCCAAATCTGAAGTGATTTTTGACCTATTTTGACTCCTAATAACATTTTCCGGAAATTGGGGTAGTTTCATGGCTGTTGGCGAGCAGTGTATATCACTGAAGATGACCCCACTTGGTCATGGAGTGCATTTTTGGTATATCTCTCGCTCCAGCAAATTTCAGGATCCTTACCCAACGATTACGTAAGATACAGGGGTGGTTCCATTAGAAGTGGGTCACACTGTATAATGTATAAATATAAAATTTTCGAAAATGTGTGATTTTTCATATAAAAAAGTTCCTATTGAAACAATATTTCCTTTGATTTCTCCATGAAGAGGACAAGAGCAATACCAACACTAATTAACTAACAAAAGACAAAACTAAGGTACCTGATAGCAACAAATGAATAGTTATAAAAAGTTCATAATGTAGAATAAGCTCGTCAAAGGGCCAAGCGGGTAGCTAAGTTACGACCTATAGGAGGATCAACATCTGAGTTGCGAGAATATAAATTCAAACCCCTGATATTCAGGAGCTTTGCATCTTTGTCAAGTTGTTCTGTCGAGAAAAGCCTAAGTTTTTCAAAAATGATCTTTAGAATGGAATTTTGTGTGGATTGAAGCTGGTAGAGTGTGCTTCACATACATACATATGTATCATTGATTTTATTTTTTTTCTTATCAACCCAGTATGTAATACCTGATTCCACATAGGCCGAAAAAGGTAGAACAACTGCCAGAAGAACTCTTCCGTCTGGTTTCAAAGCCTTGCTGATTTGGTCCAGTAATTCCATAGGCGTATCGCACCGATCGATCAGGTTCAAACAGGATATGACGTCATATTTTCTGTTCAAATTCCAATTGTCCACATCCAATAACCTGAAAATTGATAATAGGAATTGAATTCAAATGAAACAACAAAATCTTTCTGATCATCTGATTCATACGACTCGTCTGAAACACAGAACTCAAGGACCAGTTTTGTGTGTGAACTGTCATCCTAAAAAAACATTTTTCTTCACGAATCTTTGCAACCGTGAATCAGGAGATATATACAGGGTGGGCCAAATTGGACAAAAGTTCTATTCTCGAACCAGATGGAAGAGAACTGATGTCGGTATCTGAGGGTCGATTCTCATGAAAAACTCAGTGGCGAAATCCGCGATAATCGATATCTGTTTTCGGTTCGGAGATACAAGCAAGATATTTTGAAATAAAATCTTCTCCTTAACCACCCTGTATCTCTCAAACCAACACTATCTTCATAAGGCATGTTGGGCTAAATCTTTATATTTGGGTGTTTACTATCTGTAGTTCAGAGATTTCCCATTCTCAATTTAATATATAAAATTATTAAAATGTCATCAGTGGAAAATGAATCTCTTCAAGCGCGGATAACACAACAACCGTTGAAGCTAGACAGTATGATAACGAGTACATTTTTCATGTGAAATTGAACAAACTTTCAGATTCTCCACTTATTTTGATCATCAATGAATTGACATAGAGGATATGATGTAAATTATCGCAGTAACAGAGTGCCACTAGCGCCATCTATGAGCAATCACAAAATGAGTTGCAAATTCATATTCCTCATATCAGGAAACCTAGAAATACAAGATTCCATGTTGGTCCTGTTAAAACTAACAAAGTTATTGTGAAATTTTGGATTAAAATCTCCCCCTAGAACACCCTGTATCTCCTAAACCAGCAACATTCTCATCAGGCATATTGGGCTAAATCTCATTATTTTTTTGTTCATTATCTGCAGTTCAGAGATTTTCCATTCTTAATGAAACAACCTGTACCTGTAAACACGTGTTACATAATATACTATCAACATCCGGAAGTTAAACAAAATTTGAAAAAATTAGGAGGCATTATTTTGACTGATGCGTTTTTCCACATCGTATACCTATACCCCAGTCCAAATATCTGATAAAAAATCAGGTAGATTATCGTAATGCTGTTATGGGTCACTAGTGTCGCTGATGATCCTTGAAATAAGGATTCGCACCCTCACGTAGTTATTTTGTTTGAATACTAAATCTAAATCAACGATCCCTATTGAACATTTAACGATGAGCGGGGAGGCATTTTATTAACTTAGGTTTATAGGTTTTATTACATCATTGTTTGAACTTGGTGGAACAATAAAATGTTAACTTAAATTTTTTTTCATGTTCTGGTTTCCACGCAAAGGGATATCCTGTAATGTTCCGAGAACATCGTGAGAACCAAAAGAAATAAGGTAGGAATTGGTGTTCTTCGTAAATATCTGGAGGTTATATATATGCCTCGGGGAACACCTCCCTTGGCAATGTGTTCCAGAGCCTCGCTGTTCGTTGGATGAACGAGTGGAAAGAGATGTTCTGCAGGTCTCCAAAGTGACGACGAAGGGGTGCGAAGCCTCAACACGACGGGTTAATCTCGCGGGGACTGCCAAGGGAGGAACAATTGTTGATATTTCAGAAGAGCATCGTTCATGAAAATATCTATGAAATAGAGCCATATCGCCAACTTTTCTACGGTGTCCCAGAGAAGTGAGTGAGTTTGAGAGTGAGTCATCACCCACGAGACGAATTGCCCTTTTTTGGATAAAATCCAACAGTTTTAGGGTATGTTTGGGTCCTGCACTCCAAATATGAGAACAGTATTCCAGGACAGGTCGGATCTGTGCCTTATAGATCATAAGCAGCTGACTGGAAGTGAAATTGCTCCTCGCCCGAAACAGAAAACCAAGTTTTTGGGATGCACTTTTAGCAATTGATCTCACGTGATTTTCCCAAGAATGGTTATTGCTGATAGTAATCAAAAGTATAGAAATGGATGTCTTCAAAGGTATGGTTACCCCTGACAAGCTTATGTTGGACACAGTGAGAGGAAAGGCATGCTTGTGTTTTGTTTGCATTGAAATCAAGTTATTGGATCCCCATTCGAGAATTGTTCCATATTTATATTATATGTCAACAGGTCTCCCTCGTTCGTTTCAGATTTGCCTGGCTGTGTACTGGACATGAAGTTGCTTCCAACAAATCGTTGATATGGAGTAGAATTAGTGTTGGTGCTAGAATTGATCCTTGCGGAACACCAGTATTTATGATAAGAGAGTCTGATGAAACTCAGTCGACCACTACATGAAGAGACCTGTTTGAGAGAAAACTAGCTAGCAGAGAACATAACTGAGGAGGCAAGCCATGAGATGGAACCTTGGCGAGGAGTCCGTGGTGCCAGACTCGATCGAATGCCTTGGAGATATCAAGTGCCACAGCTAAGGTTTCACCATATAACATGTCAACTGTTTTATTTTGTGAAACCGACCATTTTACTCGATTGAATCACATCCATAAATTCATTCGAGCAAGTAGGTAAATGAAGCCGGTAAAATCAATCTGGGAATTGAGTCCTCACGGCTGTAAAACGTATAGGGCCCATAAAACCGACTAAACCGGGTACAGAGCTAATCAAAGAGAGTTTTCCTACGTGGCTCATCATCCTCTCCTCGTCTCATAATATCCACCACTTTGTCCACTTTTACGATTTTAATCAAGTTAATTATTCGGATTAATTGATAGCGATTGGCGAGGAGAGGAGAAGCATCATCACCTGCATGTGTGCAGAACAGGAATACAACATCCACAGTGTTGCCAGACAAGATTTTCATTTCGTACCAACTTATCAGGAGAAATGTACAGGGTGATTCACCATAAATTTCCCCCCCTCTAACTCAGATATTCTTGAACCGATTTCAAAATTTGAAAAATCATCTGGAATGATTTTTCACGAATTTTTTTTTCTGCTGCATCAGAAAATACAGAACAAACAATCTACAGGGTACTAGTTGATTTTTTTCCACAGTCAGTTGAGGATTTCGAAAATGAATCCAACAATACAGGGTATGATGGTATTATGTCAAACGACTACGAAGATATAGCCGATTTTCTGATATAACGTTCGATGTGGGAGGCTCAATAAGTTGGTCTCTAAGGGGTTGTGTTGTTTTTCCCCACATACAAACAAATACAAAACTGAACATTCATTGATAGAATTATACTGGACATAAAAAACAAAAAACAAAAAAATATTAGAGCCGTTCCTGGAATATTTTGAAAAACCGGTAAATCATTGATTTTGATTTTAAATTATCTTCATCAATATTTGAATATTTGAGTACGAAATTCAGAGTGTAGCGATAACCGGTGATTAATCATGATATATTTATAATTATATGTGATAATGTCGATTGTCGATTTGTTATACATCTCTTTCCAAAGACTCATTTATCCAACGAACAGCAAGGGAGGTGTTCCCCGAGGCATATAACCTCCAGAAATTTAAGAAGAACACCAATTCCTACCTTATTTCCCTTGGTTCTCACGATGTTCTCTGAACATTAGAGGATATCCCTTTTCGTGGGAACCAGAACATAAAAAAATGGCACCTATTAGAAAAACAAGAGTTGCATGGTATATCACTGGAAATAATTAAGATGAAATATTTCTAACTATCCCAACTTCTTTTCCAACCTTTCAAATTTCTTCCTCAAATATTAATTGAGAAAATAAATAAAAACAATATCAGTTATTTTCAGTTTTTTCAATATTATTTCATGCAGCGATCAAGTAATGATAGCTATTATTACAAGAGTACGAGGTAATTAACCTACAATACCAGCCGAAGGCAAGTGTCGTAAACCTTTTTTAAATCTCTTGGAGCGCACGGAAGGAAATTCCTATAATGTACGAAGAACATCGTACGTGCCTAGGAAGGATAGGGAGGTTTGTGATTGTATTAATAACCATTGCATGAAGGATGTATATACTATTTCTACGACCAATAAATAATAACAAAAATGTATTTCTCACAATTTATCTTTCAACATATATTCCAAAATCTCCAGTACCTGAATTGCCTGTGCTTTATTTTATTTTTTTATTAGTTGTGTTTGAATGTCAATTGAAATTAAATGTCAAACAATTCGAGCAAGTGAGATAGAAACAACTTGATTATACCCAAGCATGTGAAGCTATTGGCCAAAAATTCGTATCATAACGTGTCCTCGTTTGTCAAAATCTGTATCATAATAAAAAATCTGTGTTGAAATGAACAATATTAAGAAATCGGTAGCAGATATTTAAAACTCTGTACATATTTTTGAAATCAGAAAAAATCACTATTTCGAGATATGCGGTGTTTCAATAATACTATATACTCTATTGAGGTTATCTTTACTCTATTGAGGTTATCTTTCACCTGTTTTCGAATAATACATATTTTTTTGGTATCGATCTAAGGCCTTAAAATCTATGTTTTCCGAAAACTGATAAAGTATATATGTTTGAAATCAGGAGAAATACCTCTACCGCTAAAGGAGAATGAAATATAGAGTGTTCTATTCGAACGATACCACTTTATGTAAAGTGTTTTGGTTTGAGATGGTTTTCTGCATTTTCTATGAGTACTAGATTCTGAATGCCCATATCTCATTTTTGCCAATTTGAGCGTTTCTGTAAGACCAATATTAATTGAGATAATAGTTATTGAGTGAAATATAAACAATCACCCTGTATAAATGGAATGAAAAATCAATAGGTGCAAGCACAACTCAAAAAAGAAGAACATCTGATTTGAGAATTCGTTTCGGAGTTACCAGTATCTTGATGGATTTTCGAGATATCAAGTGTTGGCAGCTTGAAATATATACCTAGTCAATCACCTTGTAGAAGCATTAATTGTTGTATATATGCATGAGCTCAAGAAGACACCCTGCTGGAAAGAGCACTGAATTCAATTTGTTGTGCAATCATATACATCGAGAATCTCATTATGAAGACAAGGTTCTGATTGCTACCAGTATACTACACAGTTGTACGCATATA